TATAGGTTAAAAGCCAGCCTGGGCTATAGAATGGGTTCCAGGACAGCCTGAACTACCAAGTGAGACTCTATGAGAAAAATAAAGCAAGGAACTATAACAAAATGACCTGACCAGATGGCTCAGTGGCTAAAAGTGCTTGCCACGCAAGCCAGATGGCCCAAGTTCAATCCCTGGGACCCACTCTCTTAGGGTTACTGTTGCTGCCATGAAAACACCACAGCAGGAGAGTACTGACTCCTGAGTTGTCCTGTGACCTCCAGATGCATCCTGTCTGTATTCATTCATACACACACACACCACAAACATGCATCATACATACACACACTGTACATACAAAGAATTTAAGTTTTTTTTTGTTTTACAAGACAGTGTTTCTCTGTATTGTTTTGGAGGCTGTCGGTCCAGCCCGACCTGGAACTCACAGAGATCTGCCTACCTCTGCCTCCTGAGTGCTGGGATTAAAGGCGGGCGCCACCACCAAGAAGGAAAGGCAAAGCCACTCTTCAGGGACATCTTTAGGTGCATGAGACTCTCTCAGACACTTGAAAAGAACTGCCACTGAAGTAATCCAGGACAAAAAAGCTATGAAAGCCAGAACCCCTGGAAGAGGAGGTAGGATATAGACTACATGAAAGGTGCTTAAAGAGACGGGGGAAAGCACAGTGATCACACGGCCGTCATCACAGGACATAACTACTGGAACCCAAAGAATATAAAACAGAGTTTGAAAGCAAACATCAAAACGCCAACCCATGCAAAGGATGTCCACTGGAACTAGAGTCGGTTTGGTAAACATCCTGCTTTATATAGGGAGTTGAAAGCAAACAATTGGGTTCCCAGCGTGGAGCAAAGGCAGGAGATTTTTTTTTACAATTATCTAACACAGAGTGAGCAGTGTGGTGTGAGAACTGGCACAGGTCTAATAGAAAATCTGAGGATGAAATGTGGGAGGGGGGGTGAGTTTTGAAGAGGCTGTGGATAGGAATGCTTTAGATTGGGAAATACAAATTGTTGGGGCTGGAGAGACGGCTCGGCCATTAAAGGCTAGGCTCACAACCAAAATGTCAAGTAAATACAAATAGTTCTGAGGTTGTAAAATATATCAACAATGAAGGGGATATGCTGTACAGACTTCTTATTCAAGTCAACAAATGTCAGGAAAATAATTTAAGTGTCTTCTGTCAAAGGAAAAATTTTATAGTGAGACCATTAGAAACAAATGTGAAGAATGTTTACAATGAGACAGGGTAAACAGAAAGAGCAGGAAAATGATGACGACACGAGAGGAAACAGATTCCCCCACCCTGGAGCCTGGTGCAAATTCTTGCCAGCAATGAAGGAAGAATCCCACCAAGTTAAATACTGCTTCCAGCCTTACTCTCTCCAGAGACACCAGCCTGCCATTCCTGGGAAATCAAGGTTTCCAGATACAACTTAAAAGCCACTAAATGCTGTCTGCAGACAGCGTTAAGACAGTAGTTGTGACTCTTTTGAGGAACACTCTACAATTCCATCTTAGAGAAGTCCATTCCCACTCTCTGGATGATGCTTTTATTGCTGACAAGCTCCTTTCTTCCTATAAAACCCTAACTTTACTTCATATGTGCTGGTCCTGAAATTATTTCTGGTACTGAAGCCACAAGTCCATATTTGGCCTGAGTCAGGGTCCCTAAAAGGCTAAGAAAGTCCCCAGGCTGTCAAGGTGATAGAATGGTGTCTCTTTCACCCTCACTGCTGACAGAAACTGTTTCTAGATTCTTACCTAAAACACTACTGATGGATATATTTAAGTAAGAAGAAAATTAAAACCAGTCAGAGAAAAAAATTGGAACACAGGAAACAGTAGAAAAAGAATTTGAAAGCATAATGATAAATCTAAGAACTAGTTGGGACAACCTTAGAGCTAATTGGGAAAATTAAAATTTATGGTGTCTTATAAAGAAAGCATAGCTAGAGTTCTTAGCATTACCAACAAAAGACAGGAGAAATCAGTTAGGGAAAACAACTTTGGGGTTTGTATATTATTTAAGGGATGTCTAGATGCTAAGATTAAACCACGATGTCACAGGAGAGACAGTCCAAAGGCAACATGCTAAAAAACAAACCAAAAACATCTTGTCTTTGGAAGAAATTCTCAAGGAGGAAGCAGTCAAGTATAGACCAAACATGAAAAGCAGGAATGTATCAGAATATATGAAGTATTTTAATGAACCTGTAGAAACCACCAATCCCAGCAGACAAACAGGCAATGGTTATGAGCATTAAGTTCACAGTAGAGAATAATATAAACAGCTAGTAGGCACAGATAGGTCCCGTTCCTGCCGGTTATGAAAGAAATGTGTTATAATACACTAGGTTCTAGGAGTACCTATGCTGAGCCAAATCAGCCATCATGTAAGGTACTCTCCCAAGTCCAGCCTGAGCTGAAGAAACACAACCCAGCCATGCAAGAGCTCAGGAGAAAGGCCTCACCAGTAACCAGGTGGCCCAGCCACTCCCAGCCCAGGTGTTAGTTAGCACACAACTGAAAAAGATCTCAGTGGTGGCCAGGTGATAGAGGCGCACGCCTTTAATCCCAGAACTCGGGAGGCAGAGGCAGGTGGATCTCTGTGAGTTCGAGGCCAGTCTGGTCTACAGAGTGATTTCCAGGACAGCTTCCAAAACAATACAGAGAAACCCTGTCTTGAAAAAAAAAAAAGATCTCAGTGGCTACAGCCTTGGCTGCCAGCTGACCAAGACCCCACACAGACTCTAGCCAGCCACCAGCCACAGAACCATAAGAAATACCTGTTTCTTTAGGCCACTGGGTTTTGAAATGAATGTTCTACACTGGGTTCTACAAATGTAGGTAACTGGTACATAAAGAACCCAAGTCTGGTTTTGAGGTGCTGAGTTTCAAGCATCCACACATCATGGAGTGGGGGTGTCCCAGAGGCAGGAGGCAGCTGCGGTACTGGAGCTTAGTGAGTCATCGTTTGTAGGAGTATGGTTAGCTGCCCAGGTCTAACAGTCCCTGGAAATTCAAACCCAGTTAGCACAGCCCTGAACCTAAGGAACTCGCAATGTGCTGGGGTGAAACACCTGGACCTTACGTGATATGATGCAGGTGGGTGGGGGAGATGTCGATCAGGATTGAGGCGGTGCAATGCTTCAAAGCAATGGTTCTCAACCTGTGGGTTGCGACCCCCTTGGGGGGTTCCAATATCAGATATTTGCACTATGATTTATAACAGTAGCAAACAGTTATGAAGTAGCAATGAAATAGTCTTAAAGTTTGGGGGGACATCATAACATGAGGAACTATATTAAAGGTTGAGAACCACTGCTTTAAAGGGGGAACTGATGGGGATTCAGAAATCCCATTTCCATAACGTAGTTGCCCCTGAGTATCATCAAACACAGGTGCTCACTGAAGGAATAAAGACCCAGGCAATTGGGGATACGGAGGGGCAGTTATGAGTTCTTGACTTGAAACCAAGAGCTAAGCAAACCGTTTTGCCTTGGCAACATCTCCATTTGGGTAATTTATGTGTTAATCTCAGAAGGTCACAGGCAAGATTCTACATATTACTTCAAATCTGATTCAACAAAATAAATTAAAACAAAAGTCAAAACACAGCATGTGAATTAATTCATTTTTTCGAAGGTCACACTTGATAAGCACACACTCGCATGCAGGCTACTGTCTATACGGAAAGACTGTGCTTTGGATCCTGACTCCAGTACTAGCCTCTAAAGATCACCTGCTACTCCCATCTTATGGATTCTAACGCCTGCCACTCCCATCTTAAGGATGCTAACGCCGAAAATTACAAAGGACTCTGAGTCAAAGTAGAAAAGCAGCAGGATTTGCACTCAAGTTATTACCTTCCTTTTCAGTACCACCCCTGCTTTCCAGAAGATTCTGCAGAGATGGGTAAATGCTGCACACATCTTCAGGGCTGGGGAAAGCCCCTGGGAAGCTGATGAGGCAGGTGGGAAAGTGGGAGCTGAAAGAGTTCCAAGGCCCTCTTTGATGGTGGGGGTTTGAGCTATTGTGTGCAAAGGGATGTTTGCTGTATGAGTAGCTCTAGCCAGGTTTTGCATGTTTAATGACGTCCAGGTGATGCTGATGTGGTCTAGTCTAGATATTATCTTTGATAATCACGATTCTGCATCTCTTTGTGTCCTCCATCATCAATGTACGTGCAATCCATGAAAGTAACCTGAGCCCCACCTACAGATGAGGAAGAGCCTGTGGGGTCCACAGGCAGCAATGTAGTGCTGCGTTCACCAGGGGAGATGTGGGAAGAAAAGAGACCTTGCGTTTTGTCATTACTGGTGCTGGAGTTTGGACTGGAGACAACTTTCCACCTTACAGAACACTTAGCACCATTTGGAGATAGCTTTGATTTTACAGCTGAGATGGGAGACAATCGAGGCATCCAGTGCACAGAAACAAATGGCGATGCTCAAGCTCCCACAGAACAGTTGCATGGGACAGTTTCCTGCATCACCAGCATCTTTGGTTAGCATCGTTCTGCACAAAGGCCAATGACTGATAAATGATTCAGGCTGAGAAACCTGAACATATTGAGCACAGCGGCTTCCTCCAGAGAACAGAGTGTGCTCGGGGTGGGAATGAGATGTAAGAAATCAGTTCACACAAAACTAGAAGGTCCTAAATCTACAAATTGGAAATGGCAACTAGAACTGAAGTTCAGCCTCCAGTACAGAGGCAATCTGCAAGGGGAGCTCTTTTATCTTTGGGGGAAACCTCTGGCTTTTTCTTAGAGCACCCCTGACTGACTAAAGCCTGCCACCACCATATCCTGAATTAAAAATTAAATATTAGTAACTTCTGGAGATTATCATAACAATCATCTAATTTGCAAAAACAAAAAGCTATGAGGCAGAGTTTACACTTATTTAAAGATGGAGGGAGTAAAACATGGAGATGTTAAAGACTCCGTGCTAGGTGTCCAACTTCAGGACATCTAATCTCCATTTTGAAGACTTACCTTGTGCGGCTGCAGTATGGAAATTGCCCTGTTGTTTTATGTCTTCTCACCCAACGATGGCTGCAGTTTTTACCAGTTTTCATCTCAGATGCTGGGGTGCAGAGATGCAGGACAGGGTACCCAGAGCTACATAAACAGCTTACAAAATAAAGATCCGGGATATGGAGTAGAGTGGAGTGGCTTGGCTCCCGGGTTCATACCCTAACCTGCCGCCCTCACACTGGAGTCAATTTACCTCTCACCAGCTGGCCTCACCCCGGAAAGAGTGAGTCAACTCATCTGAAAGGTCTGGTGGGTGTTTTTGTTTAACTTAGAAGGTTCTAGGTACAGCTGAGACTGGTCTGCTTTGCTAATTGAAGTTTCACTGGAACACAGCCTTACCTGATCATTTATGAACCAGCTACAGCTGCAAATACACCACAGAGGCACACTTGGGTGGTTGCAGAATTAAACTGTTTATTGTGTAGCTCTTTCCAGAAACAGCCAACTTTTCCCTTCTCCATTGCCCTGTAAGTGTAGTCCTCCGGTCAGCATCACCAGCATCTTCAGAGAGCAAACAGAGATACAGACTCCCCAGTGTAGACCCTGAACTAGAATCTGCAATTTAACAGAATCTCCAGGTGGTGGAGAAGCACGGCAAGGTTTGAGGAGTCCTGCCCTATGACCATGTAGCTACTGCCACACTCTCTAACCTTAATAATGGTTTTATTGCATTTATTTATTTATTTTTGTGTGCATGCACATGTGAAGGCACATAAGTGCTAAGATGTGTGTGCACACACCATGGCATACATGTGGAGGGCAGAGGGCAGCTTGCAGAGGTCGCTTCTTGCCTTCCACCATGTGAGTTCCAGGGATTGAACTCAGACCATCAATCCTAGCAAGCGCCTTTACTGGCTGAGCTCTCTCACTGACCACTCACTGTTATTTGTATCCCTGTCCTTGCCCCTGGTTGGTTCTTCTCCATTAAATAAGGTCCTCTCTCTGAGTTTTCCCTCCTGGCATCTTAGGATCTTCAGCACCATTCATATCTGTGGAGTATGTTTCTCTTTGATGTCTGTCCCTCCACGAGACTGAAGCATGTAAAACAGCTCTGACCTCTGTAAGTCTGGGCGTGGTGATGCACGCTTGCAATCCTGGTACTTGAGGGTTGAAGCAGAGCGTCAGGAATTCAGGATCATACTTGACTATGTAGGGAATTTGAGGCTAGCGTGGAGTACATGAGACCCCACTTCAAAAGAAAATAAAGCACAAAACAGGGCTGGGGGGATGGCTCAGTGAATAAAGTGCTTGCCAGAAAAGCACAAGGACCAGAGTTCAAATCTCCACACATAACAGCAGACAGCTGAACCTCCAGCACTGGGCTTTCTGGGAATAGTAGAGACAGGCAATTCCCAGGGGCTCACTGGCCAGTCAGTTATCACAAATGGGGAGCTTCAGCTCAAGGAGAGACTCTGTCTCAAAAAAATAAGGCAGAGCAATAGAGGAGGATATCTGAAGTAGACCTCTAGCTGTCACATGTGCACACATGGGTAAGTGTGTCCCTAGTCACACATGCATATACATATATAACATACATGTACAACATGCATAAACATATGTATACACACATACAATACATAAATATATGCGCACATACACGTGTACAATACACATGCAAAACACATACATGCATGTATGCACACGTGCACAAAGCACGCATTGCACACATATCTCTAACACACAGACAGAAACACATGCACACATACAATACATGCATACACACATAATATACAATACACACATGCACAAACATGTATAACACACATATGCACATGTATGCAACACACACACACATAGAAGTGTAAACAACACTCACTTAATAGTAAGTAGGAAACAGCCAAAAGAGGGAAGGCAATGGACTAAGTAAGTTGTTAGGAAGCTATTAGACCAAGGAGGATGGTGCCCTGGAGGCCTGGGGTGATGAGCGGGTAAGTTAGCTTTAATTCCCTCCCCCTGCATTCTAGGGCTAAGTATTACTATTCAATCACACAGAGATTTTCAAGTGCTTTGGGAAACCTCTGCAGAGCAAGGATCCAATTTCACCAGCTGTTCACTAAATGAAATAGCCATCTATATCAGGAATTTAATTAGAAAGCCCGGGATGTGATCCTGCCTGAGAAAGCTACATTGCAGGCAGCTGCATTGCCCCCAGAGACCAGAGGGGAGCTCAGACTGAATTCTATGCTTCTCTCCCTCTTGATGAGAGCTCTCCTCTACTGATTCTGTTTGCCCTTGTGGGTCTGGCAGTTTTGAATGACTTATTATTGTGTGGAGATTAAGTACCCCAGCAGCTCCTGGCAAGAGATCTGTAGTGTCTTTCAAAACAGGATTCATGTCAGATGGTTTAGGCTGACTTCCCTTAGGTCCTTGCAAACCATTTACCCGTGGAGAGCTAACATTGATAACCTTTACTTAAAAGAAAACAAGTTTGGGGAAAATAAGGGCTGGGGAGATGACTCAGTTGGTGAAGTACTTGTCACAGAAGCCTGAGGACCAAGTTCTGATCCTCAGCACCCATGGTGGGGGAGTGGGGGTAAAGCTGGACTCAGCAGTATATGTCTATAAGCTCAATACTTGGTGGGTGGAGACAGGAGGATCCCTGGAGTTCTCTGGCCACACACACACACACACACACACACACACACACACGCACACGCACACACACACACACACACACACTGAAAACTTGACTCAAAATAATTGGAATAATGTTGCTGTCATCATCAGGAAGGCCCCTGGCTAAACGGCCTGGTTATTCAGGGGGAATATGCTAAGTGCATTTTAGTAAGCTCTCCCTCCTACTGATAAAGGAGAATAAGGTTTAAAGGAACTCAAATGAGAGAGAGAAGGCCTCCTGAAAGCAGAGTGTAGAGACAGGCTCTTGTCTACACTGAGAAGTCACAGAGTGTGTAGACACAGGTTCTCATCTACACTGAGAAGTCACAGTTTGTGGAAGCTCAGACTGAGGTCTACACTGAGAGGTCACAGGGTGTGAAGGTTCAAGCCCTTGTCTACGCTGAGAGGACACTAGTGTGGTGACACAGGCTCTTGTCTACACTGAGAGGTCCTAGATTACCACCTTTACTTAAACTCTCAGAGACTCATTTTCCCCATCTGTAAAACGAAATGTTAGTTCACATCTTTATCCAACCACTTACCATTCATTCTCTCATTCAAGTGATTTTTAATGCATGTACTAAAAAGCAGGAAGGTGCTAGGCAGAAGACATACAAAGAACACAAAATCATACGTGGAGTCTGCCTCTTGAAGCTTGCAGCCAACTGAAGAAATGAGGCCTCTGTGTTTGTGGAGGGGGCACTAAATATGATGATACAATTACAATGCATACCATAGAGAAAGGGTCTCTCTGGCACCCCACAGTTAACCCATCAACAAGTCTTGCAATCCATACCTTCAAAGTACATTCCAAATGCCAGTTCCCAACTATCTCCATGCAGCCATTGCTTCTAGCTGGGTTACTGCACCAGCTCAGTCCCGACCTAATCTATTCTTCACACAGAAATCAATTCTTTGAAGATTATAAATCAGATCAATAAATGCCACATGTAAAGTCCCTGGTGACTTTCCATCATGCTTACAGTGCAGTTCAAGAAGGCTCAGGAGGATCTGCATGGTGTAGGCCATGTGGGCCCGATCTTACTGCTGGAATGTTCCTTCCAGCCCTCCAGCCATGCAGACATCCTTGTTCCCTGAGCATGCCATTGTGTGGTGGGTAAGACATCCTTGTGCACACAGGTCAGACCCCAAGAACCCAGGAAAGTTAAACACACAGGCTTGTCTCCTCCAAGGAAGGAGATGTTTGCCTGTTTTGACCCGAAATGCTGGGAAAGGATGTAGTTTACAACCTGCTGATCCTTTTCTATCTGGAGGACCTGACTTCACCCAAATCCTCCAGAATATTAGTTTTTTCCCCAGACCCCCCCCAAATCTTGAGCATTGCCTCTCAGTCCATAAAACCCATCTTTATGAGAGATGTCACTTGTGCTTTACAACAGCCTAAGTGACTTCCATGTTGTCTTAGGGCCAGGCCAATCCTGACGCCCACAAGCTTTATGTTTACCTTAGTTGTTCTCTCTAGATTGTCTAAGCGCTGTTTTTGAGTCAAAAGATCCCTTCTTTATGGAAGAAGCTTGTGTACTTTGTAAAGAGTTTCAATGTAAACACATCTTAAGCTTTGTTGAACATACAAAGAGTTCATTGTCATCAGGAAACTCCCAAAATGGTGCTGTACTTAAACGTGGCTAAAATAAACCACACATTAGACTCCAGAATTTTGGCCCAGCGCTGGCCAACTAAGTTGGGCTGAACTGAGTTTCATTTCCACATTTCCCTGACAGTCACAATGTTTGTAGGAACCCCACACAAATGTACCTGGACATGGCCCCAGCCAGCTTCATTTGTTCATATAGTCACTCAAGGATGTTGAGATATTGATACCCAGAGACCTCGATCTCTGCCAAATGTCACCTTTCCAGAGTCCTCCCTGCTCACGTAGAGTCACCTCCCCAACCCATAGCATCAGTTACTAGCCTGCGATTCATCCTTTACCTAAGGTGCTGTTTAATTCCACTTGGGAGTTATTTATCTTTATCGACTTCTCTGTTGTTTGTTTCCTGTCTGGAAGTAGGACTTTGTTCATATAATTTTCAAACATTTGTAACAGGCTTTGGACATAAAAGGATGCTGAATAAATATTTACTGTTATGCTAAACTGTGATGATATAAGTCCTGACACATTAAGAGTAACTTATTTCAGGGAGATCTGAGAATGCTTGCTTGGAAGAGAACACAATGCTAAGAGAATGGCTGGAGCTTACCAGGACCAAAAGGAGTGTGGTGTTGGCTGGGGAGCAGGGATTGCTCAGACTAAGGCTCTGAGGTGGGAAGGAAAATAGTGTAGTCAAGAAATTTGAAAATGAGCAGTAAAGTGTTTCTGTGGGAGCATTAGAAACCGAGTTCAATTCTCAGAGGCCTCGTAAAAATCAATCAATCAAACAAACAAAAGATCTGGGTACTGTGGCCTGCACTTTTAATTGCAGGGCTGGGAAGGAGATGGGAAGATCCCTGTGGCTTGCTGGACAGCCAGTATAGCCTACTTGTCAAATTATAAGCTCATGAGAGATGGTCTCATAGAAGAACAAAGAATGATGCTCCTAAAACAATACT